TGCGACCCCCTCGAAGCACATGGCCACAACCGTAAACTTATACAACATGTGCACGGATGGGGGGGGCGGTCCTTCTTCGAAAGGAGGGTCTCGCTGGACCCTGTCCTGGTGCTGTTTGATCGTTGTGTTTGCTGCGGTCCTCAGTACGCGCCACCAGGATGCCTGCAAATAATGTTCAAAGCGGGGCCCTCGCCAAAATGGCAGGCCCAACTGTGCTGGTCTTTCAAGGGGGACTCTTCCTGAGGTGAAGAAGAAGACTTGCAGGGGCGTGTGAGGAGAAGACTTGGGACGGGATGATGCACTGTGAGTGTAAGAAGTATACAGCACACACTGGGGGACAAGAGGACTCGCTCGAGCGTCCCAAGATCGCCGCAACCACGTCTCTCGATATCACGAGAATGGCAGCAAAAACTGGAACGCCGGCTGGGGGTCACAAGACCTGAGGGGAAAGGATGCTTCACCTTTCGACGCCCGGAGCGCTGTTTCTCCACCACCACTCCCCGAGAAGAGGACGGGGGGAGCCCTCCCTACAGAATCTCGGGAGTGACGCGGTTTGCGGCATCGTTCCTGCATCTGTGGCTTACTCTGTACCCCTTCCTCACCCCCCTCCTCCCGAAAGCACCGACGTCATGATGCTTGCATGACGTCGACGCGAAAAGGTCTCGACCCATTCTCCAGGACGGGCTTTTCATCCTGCGCCGTTGTTGACGCCACCCAGGGCCCAGCGAGGGCTCCCACAGGCCGAACATACTGGAGCACCGTTCGCCATAAATTCTGTTCATGGCCGGAGGGGTCTGGATCCTCCACCTCCTCCTCCTCCTCCTCCTCCTCCTCCTCCTCCTCCTCCTCCTCCTCCTCCTCCTCCTCCTCCTCCTCCTCCTCCTCCTCCTCCTCCTCCTCCTCCTTCCTCCTCCTCCTCCTCCTCCTCCTCCTCCTCCTCCTCCTCCTCCTCCTCCTCCTCCTCCTCCTCCTCCTCCTCCTCCTCCTCCTCCTCTCCTCCTCCTCCTCCTCTCTCCTCCTCCTCACTCCTCCTCACTTCTCCTCCTCCTCCTCCTCCTGCTCCTCCTCTTCGCTCCTCGCTCCTCGCTCCTCGCTCCTCGCTCCTTCTCCTCCCCCTCCTCCTCTCCCTCCTCCTCCTCCTCCGTTTCCGCCTCCTCTCTCTCCTCCTCCTCCTCATCATCATCCTCCTCCTCCTCCTCGCTCCATCCCGCGGCCGCGGCGGCGGATGTCAGGGGCAACGATAAGGAGGGGACTGGCTCAGGGGGGAGGGAATATCGACCTGGAATCAGCGAGACATCGCCGACAGATCGGCAGCATATGCCCCCGAGGGCGAAGCCGCGCGATGCTGGGCGGGCTGGGTCCATCAGACACCTCTCGGCGATGAGTAGACGATTGGGGGTGGATGCATCCACCCTCATTGAGGAGAACACTTATCGTGTTGGGAAGAAGGGGTTGGGAGGATAAGGGCATGAGCAATAACATCTGGATGCCAGGAACGATACCTTCGGCCGCCTACGGGTAAGAATATCATCATTTCTCCCAACCCCACCCTCCCAACCCGAAAGTTGTCTTCCTGACCCATGCCTCTGACCTCCTCCGCTCGGACTCTCGGAGCAGGGCGGTTTGAGACACGGGGGATTCAAAATCGGGGTCCAGACGCACTGGTTTTCCGCGCTGCGGCCAGCCGTGGTGACGAGGGCCCCCCAGGAGGCCAACTAGAGCCTGTTTTTGTTCTCATTCGCGATAACGGGCGTGATCGGAGGAGGGGTGGGAAGTTCGCCCCCCCATCACATCACGGCGGGGAGCCGCCGAAAATCTTCGGAATTCCTAAGGAGGAATCCGCAGAACAACATTGCAAACGTGGGCAACCTAGCGCGACGCGACGTGATCGGGGGGCAAGGGGGAGGGGGGAACGAGAGAGGGGGGGCCGATCACGGCCGTCAATCGGGCGGACCTCAAAGCAAGACGTGCTCCTACCAGGGCCTCACAAGCGGCCCTCCTCTGATCCTCCTCCCTCCCCCCCGCGGCGGCGGATGTCTCTCCGAGTCCCACGTCCCGGCGCCGTGGGCAGAGGCCAGCGCGCCGCCCATGGGCGGTGGGGGGGGCCAGGCCGCCCCCACGGGGCGGGGCGCGCGGGCGCGGCGGGGCGAAGGCCCCGCGGACGCTGCGGTTCTGCGACGTGCATCCCTCCGCCTTCTGCTCCACGCCGAGCTTCTTCTCCTCTTCCTCCCTCCTCCTCCTCCTCCTCCTCCTCCTCCTCCTCCTCCTCCTGAACATCATCCTCCTCCTCCTTCTCCTTCTCCTTCTCCTCCCCCTCCCTCTCCTCCTCCTCCTCCTCCAACTCCTCCTCCTCTTTCTCCTCCTCCTCCACCTCCTCTTCCTCCTCCTCTTCCTCCTCCTCCTCCTCCTCACTTCTCCTCCTCCTCCTCCTCCTCCTCCTCTTCCTCCTCCTCTCCCACCTCTCCTCCTCCTCCTCCTCCTCCTCCTCCTCCTCGTCCTCCTCCTCTTCCTCCTCTTCCTCCTCTCCTCCTCCTCCTCTTCCTCCTCCTCCTCCTCACTTCTCCTCCTCCTCCTCCTCCTCCTCCTCCTCCTCCTCCTCTTCCTACTCCTCCTCCTCCACCTCCTCCACCTCCTCCTCCTCCTCCTCCTACTCCTCCTCCTCTCCTCTTCTGCTTCCTCCTCTCCTGATCCTCATGCTGTTCTTGCTGCTCCTCTTCATCCTCCGCCTCCTCCTCTTCCTCCTCCTCCTCCCCATACTCTTCCTCCTAGTACGCACTTCTCTCAACCTCTGCATCCTCCTCCTCCTGTTCCTCCTCCTCCTCCTCCTCCTCCTCCCTCTCTCCCTCCCGCCCTCATTTTCCTCCTCCCCATCCTCTTACTCTTCCTCCTCCGCCTCCTCCTCCTTTGTTTCTCATCCCTCGTCCTCAGCCTCCCACTAGGGAGTGTTCGCTGCGCAACTGGGCGCACCACTTCCAGCACCAAAACTCCTTGTGCCCCACTCCACCCTGCGAGCGGGAACGAGGCACACCCTCCTGAGGCCGACCCTTCGGGGGCCAAAGTGCGACGCCGAGCCACGTCGCGAAGATCAGGGGACGCCGGAAACAGAAACGCGCGTCCCCCAGACGGACGCTCTGCCCGAGAAGTATCAGCAGTCTGGGCGCGAACGGGCTCGCGACAGCCGCCCTGGCAGCCGCCCCCCGCGGGAAGCCAAGGCGCGATGCCTTCTGCACCGGGAGGGCCACGGGGCTCTGAGAGCAGCCGCGAGGGTCATCCAAAACACGGGCGCTCCACCAGAGAGTTTCCCGCGGGCGCTGGGCGCCAGCGAGCCCGTGACACGGCCCCCAGCGGCCGCCCCCTCGGAGGGCGCAAGCGCGATGCCTGCTACGAAAAGTCGACCAGGGGATAAGACAATACGCGCGCGGCCCACGAAACGGGCGTTATACACTCGAGAGGCTCCCGGAATGTGGGCGCGAACGCGTCTGGAACGTACCCTCCGGCACCCCGCCCCCCCTGCGAGGCCCATGGGTAATGCCTGAGCATGGGCGCATCTGAGTGTGACTACGAAACCTGGTGAGGTTGCATATGAACACAAGAGAGTCCACGCATTTGTGAGTCCGCGTGTGAATTCGTCTGCGTATGAATGGATCTGAGTGGTCAGTCTGGTTGGGTGAGCGTGGGTATGAGTAGCTCGGATTGTGAGCGGGTATTAGTACGAGTATGAGTTATTATGAGCGCGATGTGAGTATGGGTATGGATGAGTCTGTGAGTGCAAATGAGACCTGGCGGCATGTGAGCGAGTATGAGTGCGAGTGGGTATGAGTTTGAGTGGGTCTGGGCACGGGTAAGCCTGAGTGAGCTGAGCGTGAGTGTGAGGAGACGGGAAGGACGGAGGAACAAGTAAGGAGGCGGAGGCATCTCGCCAATAATTAACGATTTGCCACCGTTCATCCTGGCACGTCGGGTCGCTGAGAAACATTAAGGGCTGATTGGTAGGGCTCATGTAGGTCATGTCAATCCCCAACCCCCTCGCCACACACATACACATACACACGCACACACTTTCGCGTGCAGCCCCACTAATGCCCTCCCGAGACCCCCTGCGTGCCCAACGCCTCCTTGGCACTATCCCAGGCCTCCTGAGCCTTGCAAGACTGGCCAAGGGGGCCACCCCTGCCGCCACGATGGCCGAACCTCGGCTGGAGGGGCAACCAAAAGCCCCCAAGAGGACCCCAGCAGGCGCCAATGGGCCCCCAAGAGGCCTCCGAGATATCAAATAAAAGGCCCGGGATTCCCTCCAGGAAGGTCGAACTGTTTCAAACAGCAGCGCAAACCAGTAAGGACTTCGATTCGTTCGCGCTTCCTGGGACTATCGGCTCAAGATTGCCCTAAGAGGACCTCAGAGGAGCCAAAGAGATGCCAAGAGAGCATAAGGATTGCCTTCAGACGCCGTCCAGGCAGCCCAGCACAGCTTTCAACACGGGGCCCAGGACAGCCCCCAGAGGGCGCCACAAGATGGCCCCCGAGGACCCCAAAAACCTTCTAACACAGAGACTCCCAGGATGCCGGCATGGGCCGAGACGGCACCAGAGGAGGGCCCAAGCGAGCCTCAAGACGATCCAAGAGGGCCTCAAGAAGGCTCCAAGATGGCCTCAGAGGACCCCAAGGCAACCCCAAGACAGCCCAGATATCCTCCAAGAGAGCTCCTCAACGAGTAGAGACGAGAGGTGCCACATCTTACGGTCGTGTGGGTGGTACTCGAGACGTCGCCAAACTGGTGCTGCGCTGGCACAGTGGCGCTACTTGCCGTAAGCAGCTGGATGGCCCCATGTTTAGGAGATGAGGAATGGTGGAGTCGGGTGACCTGTTGTTTCCAGCTGTTTTCGGCCATGGGTCCCAGATGCACTCTGGGATCCCCAATACGGGCACAGAGGGGGCCCGACAATACCCCCAGGACAGCTGCGACAATGCCGAAAGGCGCCCTCAGGATCCAGCCACACGGCTCCAAGATAGCCCCACCGAGCCGTCCTGGGAGAGCTCGGCGGGACCATCGAACCAACAGCGGCCCCGGGACGCTACAGCTCAGAGGCCCCCAAACAGGCCACCGAAGAGGCCCGCGCCACGGATAGGGCGTGGAGCGGGCCCGGGCCTCGAACTTCTCCTCCGCCTCCTCCTTGCTGCTTGGCGGAAGAGTCGGGCCCTGGGCCCCAGGGCAGAGCCCGGGACCTGTGTTGACCACCCTGGGGTCCGAGAAGGGTCGCGGGAGCCCGAAAACGGCAAGAGGTATAGATAGAGCAATGACTGCCTGCTCAGCTTAGTTAAGCGGCTTAGGTAAATCAGATGTCTGTTGTTATTCCTCTCTCTCTCACTCCCTCCGTCTCTCTCTCTCTCTCTTTCTCTCTTTATGTTTCTCTCTTTCTCTCTCTTTCTCTGTCTGTCTGTGGTTCTGCCTCTGCCTCTGTCTCTCACTCTCTATCTCTGTTGCAGGTGTTCCTTCGAGGGTGTATGTGGCGGTATGCGTTCCCTTGCTAAGCTAGCAAGCTGGAGCTGGCTATCGCACCCACAACTCCCGCTAAGCCAAAAAGTCCCGAAGCGTCGTGATGCCTCATCTTGGCGGGAGCCGTCGAGGTGAGAAGGAGGTGGAGGAGGGAGGGGCGGAGAGTGAGGAAAAGGTCATCCGTTCATCCCGCTCACTGGACCCCTGAGAGAATGGAGGCCTCTCCAATGAGGCCAGAGCAAGTGGAGTCGAAGGATCGCGCCGCATCGCCACCGCCGACGCGTCGACGATGCACCGGCGCCGCTGGGGCGGAGAGGCACCGGCCCCATGGCCCAGAGAGGCCACCTGGCAGAGCGACGCACACTTCAGCGCCCTCTCAAGCCAGGACATGGCCAACCAGGGCTATCGAGCTGCCACCTGGAGAGAACGAAAACGGAGAGGAGGAGGAGGAGGAGGAGGAGGAGGAGGAGGAGGAGGAGGAGGAGGAGGAGGAGGAGGAGGAGGAGGAGGAGGGAGGAGGAGGAGGAATGGACTGGGAGGAGGAGGAGGAGGAGGAGGAGGAGGAGGAGGAGGGAGGAGGAGGAGGAGCCCTGGCTCTGCAGACTCCCCGCTCTGGGGGCCCCGTGCGAGGCGAGGCCCGAGGCCTCCAGCATGGGGTCCGAGTAGTGAGATGGGGCCGGAGGACCGCGCCGCCTCGCCGACGCCTCGGCGACATCGGCGCGGAGGACATCGGGCTCCATATCGACCCGCATCGCCGATGCATCGGCGATGCGGCGCGCTCTTCCGGCCCCATCGTCTCGGACCCCACTTGGGGGGGGGGGGCGAGCAAGGCGTGGCGGGGGCGGCGCCGCAGAATCTCGGGGGGCTTCCCCGCGTCGGCCGCGGCGGAGGACGTGCAGACGAGGGTGGCGCCAAAGTCCTCCCGCGCCGCGATCGCACGCCGTGCGGGGCCGGGGCGGCCGCGGACGGCCATCGGGGGTAGAGATGAGGAGGAGGGCGCTGGCCGCCGGGGCCAGCGGGGAGGTGGGGTCGAGATCTGCGGCACTGGCAAAGAGGCACGAGTCAGCGGCCCACCTTCCTGTGATGTGGCCCTGAGCGGGAATTGGTGGATATATTTCTGTGCATGCTCTGTATATGTAAAAGCGCATGTGTACACATATACACACATATGTTCACACATATCTATATAAATATATAGATGTATACCCTCGTGTGTGGATAAATAACATGTATGTTCACATCCACACAAGGTTTGCCATCGTGAAACCCAAACACAGCGCATGAATGCACTTCACATGTGTACTGCATTCGGGTGCAAGCTAAATTATGCAATCGACCTGCCACGATCTATGTTGTTTCACACATGTGGACTATTGCTTGCAGTGCGATTTGCTGCAGTGTTTATAAGTACATACATTTGTAGATACATGTATACACGTGCAGGTGCGTGGTGCACTCCATGTGGTCAAAGCTATGCTGTGCAAGTTAGGTTGCTGAAGCTACGTGGTGAACTCCACGAGGTGCAACATGTATAGGTGTATGTGCACATGTACACATTGTGCAGATGATCCTGCGCACAGAAGCACAGCGCAAAGGCGATGTGTTGAAGCCGCGCTTCGCTTTCTGGTCGTTTCGTTAGGGACATCCTCAAACATTTGAATATTGAACGCGCCCTTGCATCTCTCGACGCCCCCGTCCAAAAACACATCCTTTTTCAACCATTGTAACACAAAGCCTTCAAACACACAAACAAATTCAATGGTTTTCCGCATGGCTCTTGGAAGAAAACAAACAAAATCCCCGGATACATCCTCGCAACATCGAGCCCCGACGTACAACGAACGCGAACACTTTTTCGCCGGCGCAAAGCGAAAACGCGCACCATCGAGCAGGGATCCAAGGCGCAACGCACGTTAACACACAAACGCGCAAACACACATACACACTTTTTGGCGATCGCGGTCTCGCGCGCAGCCGCGAGGCGGAGAACATGCGTCCGAACGAATAAGCGACGCGCGCGGCTGGCCCTGCGGAAGATGGTGCTGGGATCCAAACGGGATCCGCCAGGCCATGCGCATACCTGGGCATGGACAGGGAGGGTGGGAAGCAGCCAGCTGTGACCAGGGTGCAAGTGGAGGCGCAGCCCACCCGGACGGCAACAACGAGAGGCCAAGGAAGGAAGAGGACCAAAATGCAGGCGAACCTGCGTCGTGGAAGGCAGGGGACGAAACTGCGGGACGGAAGGGGACGAAAGAGCAGGACGACAGTGCAATGCAGGCGGAGCCCAGCCGAGCGGGGCAGGTCGCAACGCGTGCAGCCGCACGCGGCGGCAGGGCGAGGCAGGGAGCGCGCCGGCGCCCCTGCAGAGGGAGAGACGTGGCGCGGCGGTCTCCTCGGTCCGTCGTGGCGGCGGCTGGGGCGAGCAGGCCGCCGCAGAGCGCGAACACACACACACACACACACACGCGAACACACAGACACACACACACACACACGCGAACGGGCACAAATAACTACGCAGAACACGCATATGCGGCCCAAAGAGCGCACAACCCACACAACACATAACACTTCACACACCACACGCACACACAAGACACACAAAATACACACACACACACACGCATGCAGTAATCGTTTTCTCTCTCTCTCTCTCTCTCCCTCTCTCTTTCCCACGCGAACAGAAAGCATCAAACACCACACACACACACGAACATCACACACACACAGAACGCGAACAACACGCCACAGGCAAGCCGCACGCGCACACAGTCAACACCCGCGCGCAACCCACACAACACGCACAACACAAAACGCAGAACGCACACACACAACACAAGCATGGCACAACCAAGACAAACCCAGAACGCATGCACAGAACGCACACGCACATACAACCACACACAACAACACCACACTACACGCAAAACATACCACGAACAGCAACAACAACAACAACAACAGCAACAGCAACAACAACAACAACAACAATTACTAGCACGTGGGGACACTCCGTTCTCACCAGTGCCAGGGTTTTCATAGGAGGCGGGCAATACCCCCACTTTGTGGGGGGGCCGGTTCAAGCTCTACCAAATTTCCAAACGACTCTTCGCCACCACCCACACCCAGCTTCCCGCCCTATGACGTTCGGACACTTCACTTCGTGGCATGCGGACGACCGTGGCTACTATTCAGGGCCCCGCGGCCGACGACGACGGCGTGCGCGCGCGAAGAAAAAACGAATGTGTCCCGCATGGTATTATTTGACAGGGATGATGGCCCTGGCAGGTGCGCAACCGTTGTTGCAGAAGTTCGAAAAAGTTGCTCGCAAAAGCCCGTTTGACAGAAATGTTTAAAAAAGTGTTGGGTTTCCTACGAATCCGCAAGAGCGCGCGGGATGAAATGTTGACAATTTGTTTTTGAAAAACCATTGTTTTTTTTTATGTTTTTATATTAAAATCGCTACGAAAACTAAGGTTTTGGAAGGATTTCGTCTTGCGCGCGCGAATGTCCACTTTACCTTATTTGTTGCAAGGGATTCTTGAAGTTTGGATATGTTAGAACAAGAAATGTCAACTTTAGCTTATTTTTTGCAAGGGAAAGCGGGCCGTAACAACACAACCGGATCCGGACCAACCCGTTTTGCCTGAGACTTCCTCACGAAAATGATGAAAATGTGGCTGCGGCCTAGGCGCGGCGGGGGGGTCGTGCACCAGGGGCCCCAACAATAATTATTCTTTAGAAATAATAAAGTTCAACAACAACAACAACAACAACAATCACTTTACCCGAACGCTCAGTGTTCTCACCAGTGCCAGGGTTTTCATGCGACGCCAGCCAATACCCCCACTTTGTGGGGGGGCAGTGCAAGCTCTACCAAATATCCTCACGACTCTTCGCCACCACCCACACCCAGCTTCCCGCCCTATGACGTTCGGACACTTCACTTCGTGGCCTGCGGACGACCGTGGCTACTACACTGGCGTGGAGTACACACCCACAGAAGTTGTTAGGACAGCGCGCGCGGGTAGAAATTTTGAAAAGTCGTGCAGGTGTTTTTCGAGGACCTACGGTGCGATTCGTGTGATTTTATGATGCGCGGTGCTAAAATTCTTAAGAAGCCCAATGGTTTTTGGAGATTTCGGCGTGCGCGCGCGAAGAAAAAACGAATGTGTCCCGCATGGTATTATTTGACAGGGATGATGGCCCTGGCAGGTGCGCAACCGTTGTCGCAGAAGTTCGAAAAAGTTGCTCGCAAAAGCCCGTTTGACAGAAATGTTTAAAAAGTGTTGGGTTTCCTACGAATCCGCAAGAGCGCGCGGGATGAGATTTTGACATTTTTTTGTTGAAAAACCATTGGTTTTTTGATGTTTTTATGTTAAAATCGCTCCGAACACTAAGCTTTTGGAAGGATTTCGTCTTGCGCGCGCGAATGTCCACTTTACCTTATTTTTTGCAAGGGATTCTTGAAATTTGATTATATTAGAACAAGAAATGTCATTTTATAGTGTTTTTTGCAAGGGGAAACGGATTACAACAAAACAACCGGATCTGGATCACATCGTTTTACCTGAGGCTTCCTCACGAAAATGATGAAAATGTAGCTGCGGCCTAGGCGGCGCAGGGGGGGCGCGCACCAGGGGGCCCAACAATAATTATTCTTTAGAATAAATAATGTTCAACAACAACAACAACAACGACAACAACAACGACAACGACAACGACAGCGACAACAACAACAACAACAACAACAACAACAACAACAGCAACAACAACAACAACAACAACAACAACAACAGCAACTACAACAACAACGACAACAACCACAAAAACAACAACACAAGCAGCAGCAGCAGCAGCAGCAACAACAACAACATCAACAAACATAACACTCAGTTCAAGACTGCTCTTTCCTATCTGCTCACGTGCCATCCAACACGTACATCCCAACCCCCCGGTACCCGCCCTCTTCGTCTTAGATCGTGCCCCCTTGGGGGTATATCTTCCTTACCTGCCACGTGCATTTAGTGCAGCCCCTAAAACAGGGGAAGAGAGGACGGGTGGAAGGGGGAGGGACAAGGATGGAGCACGAGAGAAGTTGCAGAATGGGGGCACGGAACAGAAAACAAGTGGTAGAACCAGCCGGGCAGATCGGGTGGGCAGACCCATAGCGGGCGGGTCGGGAAGGCGGGACCAGGGGACCAGGTCGAGCAGGCAGGTTGCTGAAGCGTGGATCCTGCATGAGCTTCACCAGGTGCGCCACCTTCCCTTGCCGCTTGTGGGCCCGATGGCGCAAGCGCCCGTCGGCATTCCAGAAGCAATACGTAGCCCTGGCTCGTCCGAGTCAGCGTGGCCCTGGGCCGAGGACAACTCCCATGGCCGGCTAGGAGGAAGACCAGGTCGTGGTGTCCGCCTCGTTGGCAGAGGCGGAGGCCACGCGGAAGCGTTCAATGATCTGTTGTCGGTCCTGCTCGGCCAAGTGCGCGTGGCTGCGAGGGTCCCAAAGAGTTCCGAGGGTTCGTGAAAGTCCTGCGGGATCACTTCGATGATGGGAATCGCATTGCAACTGATGGTTCCCTTAGCCCAACTCGCCGTCCAGTGCCGGTCCTGCCCGAATGGACAACAGCTTCCGTGCGTGCATTTCCCAGCGAATCTGGCGAGGTGCCTTGTCGGGCCCCACGTGGAGAGGGGCCCTGTGCCCACCAGGGGTGCGCACCGTGAAGACCCTCCAGGCGCGCCCAGGAGTCCGAAGAGCCCTCGCCAATGCCATGACCTGTGTGCCGCCTGAGGCCTCATCGCCCTTGACCCAGATGCAGAAGCGCTTCGTGGGGGCCGCGCCGCTGATGACCTCGACGTGCTCGGCAAGGACCTTCGAGTCCTGGATCCACTCCTTGATGGCGTCCTCCACGGCCGTGCTGGAGACCATGCTGGGGGCATTGGCAGAGAAGAGGAGCTTATCCACCTCGCGGTCGTACTCCGCCAACTTGGCCAGGTCAGCGGCAGGGAGCGCGCGTTCCGCCACAGCCAGCTCGTTGCGGATCTCCTCCACCTGCGTCCGAAGGCGGACGTCCTCCTGCTCAGCCGCGGCCGCGTCCTGTCGCTGGCGTAGTTGATGCAGCTCGGTGAAGCGGTCGTTGACGCGATCCAAAATCGGCTCCGTGTACGTGGACATGGCGTTAACCATCTCCGTCTGCGCTGCCGCCATACGCCGCTGGCAGACCTTGTGCATCTTCGTGATCGTCTCCGCCGTCTGACCCTCGACGAGCGATGCCAGGTGGCGCTTCAACTCCTGGGCAAAGCCGAAGGCGCGCATCCCGTGGGGCCGCTGGCACCGCCGCTGCTGGCTGCCCCCGAAACTAGGGCCGCTGGCACCGCCGCCGCCGGTTGCCGTCGAAGCCGCGGGCACCGAGCCGGAAGCGACGCCGGGCGCTGCTCGCGCGGGGGCTCCGGCGGGGGGGGGCGTCGAAGCGGCTCCGACGGTCCCGCTCCCACCTGGGAGGCCGTGGCAGTCCGCGCTGCTGCCCAGGGGGTTCTGCTGCAGGAGGGCGTCGTGGTGGGTCTGCGGGCAGGGGCCCCCGCCCGTGGAGGGGCCGCCGCCAGCCCTCCCGCCGCAGGTGGGCGGTCCCAGGCTCTTGCGACGATCTCGTTCGCGCCCTTCGCGGCGGGGACGGCGATCTCCCTCTGCAGCATCGCGGGCTCGGGAGCGGCGGGGGCGGACGCGAGAGGCGCGGTCCTCTCCGCCGCCGCGGCTGTGACGGGCCCGATCTTCGCCGCCAGAGCCATCGCTGCCAGAACAATCAGAAAATATCTGGAACAAAAGAGTCGTGCCGAGAGCAACATCATCGTCTACCGGCATGGAATGCGGGCGCGCCCGCGAGTGTTGCTGAAGAGCACGGGGGCTTTGAGCCCAGGCTGCTGGGATCTCAGCCCCCTTAGAGTCCGACCAGGTTCTAAAAGAGCCTTGAGCCAAAATGGCTACGGAGGAGGAAAAGGAGAAGGTTTTGGGACCAGTCCTCTTCACCGTCGAAAGTGAAACGGGAGGGTAATCCCAAACCGAGGACCTCCCGAAATCCATTGTGCTCGTTGGGGAAAGCAACAAGTACCGATAACGCTACTCCCCGGACCTCTCCCGGGGTGCGTGCTGACCAGAATTCTGAGGCGAATCCAGCGGTGGCGACGAGGGCCTGCCAGGAGGCCGACAATATCGGAAAAGGAGGCAAGGGTAGAGGTCTGGGTACACGTCGTTCATTTCTAATCGTGCTTATTTCTAATTGTGCTCGTTTCTGATTGTTCCTGGCCCCCTGGTGGCCAGGAAGAGGCCCAGGATAGAACAATCCGAAATGAAAGGATCTCTTGGCACCCCCAAAAAAACGAAGAACTCTCGAACTCTCGAAGAAATGAACCCGAACACCGTGTATACCTTCTCCTCCTCTGCCTCGCGGTGCTCTGCTGTGCCCCGAGGTCGTATCCTCCACCTCGACGGGCGCGAAGCGCACCGCCACCTGCAGCTCCGCGCTCGGGGGCACGGCGCCCGCGGCCGGCTCCACGGCGTAGGCGTGGCCGTGCTCGCCCTGCGCGCGGTGGCGGCTCGCGAGAACACGCAGTTCCCCGCGCTTCAGATAGTGGTTGGCGAGCAGGGGGGTGGCCAGCACAGGGAGGAGGAGGAGGAGGAGGAGGAGGAGGAGGAGGAGGAGGACGAGGAGGACGAGGAGGAGGAGGAGGAGGGAGCCTGGAGCCGTCACTGGGGGGCCTGCGGTGGCCTGGCTCCTGGCTCTGGCGAGCAGGAGGCCCAGACCCCCATCGCGCTGTGAACCACTCACGACGGGAAGCTCTTCTGCGTGATCCTCGGTCTCGGGGATCTTCTGACCCGGGTTAATCCAGACCCGGGCCAGTCAGGCCTTGCAGGATCCTGCAAATCCTGCAAACTCCTGCACCTGAACCCGGGCCAATGCGAAGGATCCTGCAAGATCCTGCAGGATCCTGCACCCAAGCCCGGGTCCATGCGACCCTGGCCCTGCAGGATCCTGCAAGATCGGGGGCCCTGGCTGACCCCCGTTTGCATTGACCTCCGTCTCAAGGCTCCCGGCGGTCCAGCCGGAAGCCCCTGCCGGGCCTCGTCGGGGCCGTCAACGAGACGACTCGGGATGGAAAACCGGTCCCGGGGAAGGGGCCCAGACCTCTGGGGGTCGACGTCGTGAAGGAAACACGGCACGACGTCGGGGGTCTGGGGGGGGGGCGTGTAGGTTCCAGGCTCCAGGGTCGAGAGGGTCCAAATTGTCCCGAGAGTCCTGGGTGTCCCGCCTCGCGCCCGGCCAGACCTTCCCTGCATACCGCGGGCGCCAAACCCCAAAATGTCCCGATGATCCCCGAGAGTCCCGGGTGTCCCGCCTCGCGCCCTCGACGAACGCGACAGAACACAACGTGACAGAACAGAACATGACAGAACGGAACAGAGTATGACAGAGCATGACAGAACACAGCATATCAGTATCATGACTAAGTAGATAATGGACAGAACACCACAGAACATACCAGAACAGCACATGAAACAAAACCATACATCGGCAGAACAAACCAACTCATGACACAGCATCACATAACATAGCACATTACGATAGCAGAGCATAGCGACGACGAACACGACAAAACACAACAGGACACAACATAACATGACAGAACATATCACGAGCATGACACAACATGGCTGAACAGAACATAGCAATGTCATGACAACATAGAGCATACCATGGCATCACAGAACACACCACATCAAACATGACACAACATACACCGACATAACATACTATGACGTAATGCTATGACAGAGAGGATCATGCTATAACACACCTTGACATAACATATCATATCATGGCATCGCATGGCAAAACAACAATCACATATCGTATCACGAAAACGGAGCCTATCGAACACGACAGAACACAGCATGACGCAACAAACCATGACATACCATAACGCGAGCATGACAGAACATGACATAACATAGCATAGCAATATCATGACAACGTAGGGCGTAACAGCACATCAAACAACATACCAGAGCAGAACATGACAGAACAGAAGACTACATAACACAACATAGCATAACATAACGTAGCATAACATAACACATCTTGACAAAACATATCAGGTCATGGCACAGCATCACAGAACATATCATCGCACGGCAGCAAAACACAACGAAACGGACTAGCAGAGCATACAAGAATATACTATACAGAGCCGGGCCGTCAACAAACATTCCATACCAGAGCAGAACATGACAGAACAGAAGACGTCAGAACACAACACACCATAACAGAGCCGAGCATACCATGACACACCTTGACAGAACATGTCATACCATGACACAGCATCACAGAACAGACGTTGCCACGACAGCAGAGCTCGGCGACCTCGAACACGGCAGAACACAAATGCCACAACAGACCATGACAGAACATACCACGCGCATGACATGACAAACCATAGCAATGACATGGCAGCACAGGGCATACCATAACATCACATAACAGACCAGAGCAGAACATGCCTTAACAGAAGACGACAAAACACAACATCACAGAACACAGCCGAACATAACATAACACACCTTGACATACCAGATCATTACATGACACAGCATCACCGAGATTATCATAAAACGACAGACGATCAACGCGACACATACTAGCAGAGCGTAGCTGAATATGCCATACAGATCAGGGCAGTCAACAAACATAACATTACATAAGATACCATAGCAGAACATGACATAACAGACGACGACATAACACACTATAACATAACAGAGCAGAGCATAACATAACACACCATGACAAAACCTATCATATCAGACCATGACGGCATCACATAACACATCCGAACACGACAGCACAGCACAACGAAACATACTAGCGTAGCAGAGCATAATCTACTATACTGAGCCGCGCTGTCGACAATATCACTGAACACATCATCGTATACCATAACTTGGCATAACACACCATGTCACAGCATAGTGTGAGCAGAACCAACCATAGCAACTCAAAGCATATGGTGACAGGGATAAGCACAACGTAACATACTAAATCAGAAGAGAAACATACTTGAAGAAGAACATCATAACAGACGACGTATCTAACTTCACAGGCGTCACGACGTCACGCTGGCCCGTCGAGAACATAACATAACATAATAGAGCACAACATGATAGCACGTGACTACATGGAACACGGTTGAACTGTTTCTGAATCCAGAAACGGCAAATGTCGACCAATTCGGCGACCGCGCGCCGTCGGGGACAAACGCTTAAGGCTTCGGTGGGGATCGCTCGAAACAACATTTGTTTGTCGGCACGCGTGGGCCGTTTCCGGGCCCCAGGGCCGTCACAAACGGACCTGGAGTTAAGAACTGCGCCAGATGGACCCCCGCAGGAGTTCGGGGTCCAGGGGCCGATGTTGAGCGCATGTGGATCCCCCCTCCTGACCGACTTCCTGGGGTCCGAAGCAGATCAGGCCCACCCGCCACCCCAAACTCCGAACACAGCCTGCGATCCTGCCCTGGAACACAAGGGCGTCGCGACTACTTGGGCTCACGGTTCCCTGACACTTGAGGTCGGTCATGAAGTATACCGCGGTGTTTCGCGGCTGTGGTTTAATGCGTGCGATGGGGTTGATACGCTGATCTACGTTTGGCACGTGGAAACATCTGTGTAGACACGATTAAACATGTTCTGACATGTCGCACAATTACGAGCAATCTGCAAACCCTGTCGGCGTGTGTGAGGGGCTTTTCTGTTCGAGTCGTCGTCTCCGTCGTCCACTTTCCCTGCGCCCTCCCCCTCAAGCCTGCCAGCGAGAGAAAAATCTAGCAATGTCGTAATCGAGTCGAAGGGAGGCCCCTTCCCTTTGATCCCTCCCCCGTCGGGGGGTGGGCCCAGAGGAGGGGGGTCAGATGTGCATCTCCCCGTGGGCGTCCCGGGGCCATCAAAGTATCAAGAAAGGCCAGGAGTGCCCCAAGAGGCCCCCGAGACGGTCTAAGAGGGCCCTCAATCGCCAAACGATCGGTCGGTCCAAAATGCCTTCGCACCTTCCAGACTGCCTGGGAGGCCTGCAAGGCGCCCCAAGAAACCTCCAAGAGCACTCCCGAGAGGGCCCCAAGAGGTATATCTTATTGATTCCCATAATTATTTCAAGGGTTGGAGCGCTCAAGCCTTTGTTGCTTCCCACCGCTCCAAGACAACCCAATAGCCCCCAAACATCGCCCCAGTGAGGCCCACGAGGCCCCTAAGAGGGCCCCAAAACAGCCCAAACGGACCCTCATGGCACCCCAGAACGCCCCCAAAACGGCCCAAAATGCCTTCATGACGGCTCCAAAAGCGCGCACAGACGGGAGACGCGAACGGACATTTCGAGCCCTCGGTCCCGAGAGGCCCCCAAGTTCCCAAGAGGCCCCCAACAGGCCTCCAGGAAGCCCGAAGAGGCCCCCAAGAGGCTCCCAAGAGGCTCCCAAGGGGCCCCCAAGAGGCCTCAAACTTCGTCCACAAATGCCCCCGAGAGCCTTTCGAAGAGACCCCAAGAAGCATCCACGAGGACTCTAGCCTACGTCAGCGTCGTCGTCATAGTCGCCGTCGCGCCGTCGTCGCCGTCCCCTTGCAAGGTCGGCGGCACCAACCGCTAAGCCTTCGTAATAGACACGGGTACACTGTAGACGCAGACTCGCGGAATTCAGCATGTTTATACGCTTAGACACGTCCTGACTAGACACGAACAGACAAACACATCGTATCTACGATCTATAAATTCATCTATCTATATACAACACTGCATTGGCGCTTCGCGCCATGCATCTTGGCCCTTCAGTGTAGGCGAGCAGGCGGCGGGCGGGGCATGGAAGAGAGCGAGCTAGAGAGAGAGGGAGAGAGAGAGAGAGAGAGAGAACGCGAGAACGAGGAAGGGAGAGAGAGAGAGAAAGAGAGAGAGAGAAAAAAAAAAAAAGAAGAAGGAGAAAGGGAGATTGAGAGAGAGAGAGAAAGAGAGAGAGAGAGAGAGACAAAAAGAGAGAGAGGGAGAGAGAGAGAGAGAGAGCGCGCATACAACAACAAGAAGCGCAAGAGAGAGAGAGAGAGAGCGAGCGAGAGAGGGAGAGAGAGAGCGAGAGCGAGAGCGAGAGCGAGAGCGAGCGAGTGAGAGCGAGAGAGAAAAAGAGAGAGAGCGAGGGAGAGAGAAAGAGCGATAGAGACAGAGCGGGGGGGAAAGCCCGAAAGGACGACACGTCCTTGTTGCAGTTAGCCTCCTCGTTGCTGCAGCTCGGTTATACATCACCTGTCCCTCATGCTTCCTATGTATTTCCCTACCTAGGCTCTGCCCAGAAGGGTTCTTACTGTCTTGGCTTAAAGGGGCCGGGCAGTGGAAAACGCCCCGGGCGGTTCCCCCCGCATCCGCCCCGCGGTTCCCCCAGTTACGCATCCTTAGCTTAGCGTTGCTTATTTCATATTAGCTTAACTTATTCCATATTAGCTTAGCTTAGCTTCATCTTAGCTCAGGCGTATCTTAGCTTAGCTTACCTTCAT